AGGTGGGCAGCATGGTCGGTTTCTGTTCGAGATTTGTCGATCATGTCGTCCATGTATACCTCGAGCATGTCTCTGATCTCACCGCGAAAGACTTTGTTCATTATCTGCTGGTATGTTGCCCTTACATTTTTTAGGCCGAATGGCATTACATTGTAGTAGTAATTTCTTGACTCGGTCATAAAACAATGCAATATTTTTCGCTCATCGCCATGGGAGTTTGATTATAGCCCGAGTACGCGTCTATAAATGATAAAATTTTGTAGTCGGCCGAGTTGTCGATCAACATGTCAATGTTAGGTAAAGGAAAAACATCTTTGGGACATGCCTGGTTGAGATCAGTATAGTCAACACACATACGCCATTTTCCATTATTTTTCTTAACAAGTACAACGTTTGAGAGCCAGGTTCAATACTGGGCTTCAGAAATAAAATTTTCTTCTAGGAGGTCTTTTACAACTTTTTCAATAGCCTCAGATTTTCAAGAGACTGCCTACGCCTATGTTGTACTACTGCCCTAGCGGATAGATCCATAACAAGTTGGTGATAGGCAACCTCAGGGTCGAATCTGAGCATCTCTGCAATGTTCCATGCAAACAAATTAACATTTTCCCTTATGCTGGCTCTGAGATGCTTCTTTGCCAGGTTGAGGAGTCCAGCACCGATCTTCACGCCTTTGTTCGGGTTTTCACTGGGGGAGGGGGGGGTGAAATCGAAATATCTATCTGGGATGGGTCGGAGAGGACCATGTTCTCCATTGGGAGCCTCAACTTTATCTTTGTCAAAGCGGGTGTCGAGTTCAATGGAGTCGGCCTTTGGTGGAGCCTGTTGTTCTTCGAATCGAGCAGGTTTGTATGCCGAGATAATTGTTGTTATCGAGGTGGTTTCTCTCTTAGTAGGTAGTTCCCTAGTAACAACCATGTTTTGCCTTTTGGAAGCCACGTTGAAACATCTCCTTGCAGCTGAGATGTCTCTATGGATCATGGCGACCTCACTGAAAGATGCGGAATTCAGTGGAAACTCGACGTAGAGACATCTCAGAGGAAATATCGGTTTCTGCGGCGAGTTTCCTCTTTGCTGAATTCACTGAAATATCGGTGAATCTCCTGCCATATATGGCCATGGCAGAGGGGAACTTCTCCCATCTGCTATGGGTGAACAAAGGCTCGTCATTTTCTAGACTTTCATGGATGTGGAAGTCCTCAGGCCTTGTGATGCAGAAGGCTACCTAGAGGGGACCAGATTCATCGGATAGTCGGGTATCCTCCTCAATTTTTTTAACCTCGCGGGTATCTCGGCGAGAGGCGTTATTCCGCTTGTACTTCCTGCCTTGATAAGAGTCTCGATAACATCCTTCAGGTGGACGCAATCTTCGGTCAGGTGACTGTGGCTCCGGTGGTATTGACAATATTTTTTTCTATCGGCCCCGAGATTTGCAGGGGCGGGTAAAGGACACCTGACCCCGTCATCCTTGAACTCACCATTGGAGAATTCTATAAGGATACGCTCGGGCGAAGCGGTCAGCGGGGTCTACTCGGTGAACCACTTGGTTGGTCCTCTATGCTCGCGGAGGTCGCGAGGTTTCTCCTCCCTTCTCTTATTCGTCGAGAAGGGCTCATGTGACTATGCCACATAATGTTAGTTAGTCTACAGTTCCTCAACTTGCGTGCGTTATTGGCGGCCTGTTTTTCCTCGTAGTCAGTGTATGGCCGGGCTTTTTTGAGGAGTGCCTCAAAAGACCTATGAGGCTCAATGCCAACCGCCTTTCTAAATCCAGTGCCCGGTAGGAGTCCCATCTCGAGCAAGTAACTTTTCATGTGATCGGTGCATGGAACCTGAATGGTCTCGTGATTGAACCGATCAATGTATTCTCTAAGGGTCTCATTGCTCCTCTGGATGATTGCCTCGAGGGCGACCTCAGTCTTCGGGTGCTGACAAGATGAAGTGAAGCTGTTGACGAATTGGTTCTTCAAATTTCTCCACGAGGTGATCACCCAGGGGGTAGGTTCTTATACCAGTCCATGGTTGTTTTCCTTAGCATCATGGGGAGCAACCTGCACTTAATAGGCCCATCAACATTGTGATAGTGAAGCAAAGTTTCGAAGTTATCGATGTGGTCGACGGGATCAGTAATGTCGTCGTATTCCTTCAGAAGGGGAGGCTTCTCCATCTCTTTAGAAATATGGGCCTCCATGATGGCCTGGGACAGGGGACCGCAGGGGTCGTCTTTGTCGCTTCTTTCCGGGGAGCGAGATGGGGACCAGTGGTAGCGGCGGTCTTTGTGTCAGTTTTGGTCCTAGGGATGGTTCCTCGATCGGGACTTCTTCTCTTCCTCGCCCCTGTTTCATTTATGTTCCGAGGATTGTCTCTCTTTGCGCGTGGGGGTGGGGGGTGACCGTGTTTCTTGACAACTTTAGGTTGGGTCCTCTCTAATGCAGGACCTTGCCCAGTTTGACGGGGAGAAGAGCTTCGAGAGTCGTCCTGTCTGTTTCTCTACAGGGGAGATTGGGAGCGGCCCTCATGCTGGGGAGGAGGAGTTCGAGAATCAGGTCTTTGGTTCCTTCAAGGGGACCGATGAGTCTGTTCCAGCATCACCAAGCTCTCACCTTGCGCGAAGATCATGTAGTTCGTCTGGTTGATCGCCGCGAATAAGGCTCTGGTCGTGGCGTCAGTGTTCTCGAGAATAGGGATCTCTTAATGTACAGTCGGCTCGTAATTCTGTCGAGGATGGCGGGTGTCGTCGCATGGTTGCGAGCGGGTGGAGGAAGATGCGGTCCTCCCGTCCCGGGGGTCTTGGTCGGGGGGCGGAAACATTGTTGTTGCCGCCTGCGTCGGTAAAGTAAACATTCTGATCATTGTTGAAAGCTTGGTCGGCCATGACAACCTAAAGGTTGAAGGTGTTGCTTTGGTCTTACGTGAATGAAAGAAGGGGAAGCCTTGTTTCCACAGATGGCGCCAATGATCGTACCTGATCAGAAGAGATCGTCAAGGCCCACAGGCTTCAAGTCGGGCAGAGGTTGAATGTGAAGTGGAGGGGGGGTACCTGTAAGATACTCCGAGGCCAAAGTAAGGTTCATAGCAAGTGCAAGTAGAATGGAAAAGTATGGATGAATGAATCAATACATGACCCTCTCAAGTGAGAGGGAATTTATAGCCTCCAGTATTGGGCCAAGGTCTCGATGTTGGGCTGACCAAGCATGCCCAAAATGGAGACTGTCAAGTCCTACGTGTGTAGTGGAGGCCGACACGTGGTCTCCAACTTGAATGGACTCCTCTTAATTTTTAAGAAGACGTGGATGTGGTCTTTTCGGGGTCAAGAGAACTCTGATATTCAGAGGCGTTGGATGCCTGCCCTACGAGGAGGGTGCTCGCGAGGACCTCCTGAGTGTCGTTGGTCCTCCTCACCAATCATGTGGTGAGGTTGTCCTCGGAGGACATATCCTAGTCGACGAGAGGGGTGGAAACACTACTCGACATGGTCCAGGGCAAACTCTCTCCTGCTGGTCTTTTCCTGCAGCATAGTTGAATTGAGTCTTGTATGATATTTGGGCCAAGCGCAGGGCCCAGTCCATAACAGATACAAATGCAAAATTTGAAATGGTTTACTTAATTGTGAAATGAACAATAATCATATAAATTTAACAATATTAAATAATCATACAAATAGAAAATAAGAATCGTGAGATGGAGAAATAAAAAATTATTTGAAAATAAGAATTTTGTCTTTCAAATTAAGACAATAATTGATTAAAATAAAATATATATTGTGTTGATAGTAATATGTGAGATAAATATATTTGTAATTTTATTTTAAAAAAATAGATTATTAGTATTTTTAGTGATAATAAATAAATAGAGAAAAAATTAAAATAAAAGTGAGAAAGTGTGAGAAAATATGTAAAAAATTTGAAATTTTAATTAAAAGAGAAAATGTATGTATGTAATATTTAATTACGACTTAATTGGTGAATATTGAAAATAAATATCACATATTATAATGTAATAGCATATGAAAATGAAAAAAAGAAAGTAAATATTACTTAATTTTTTTAATAAACAATTTGTACTTAATAGGATTGTAAATATTACTTAATTATTTAATGTCTTTTTTTAGTATAAAAAATTTGTGGTAAAAGGACAATTTAAAAATTTATACAATTAATTTTTAATAAATATATTATAGATTAATAAAATAATGTCTTTTTTTAGTATAAAAAATTTGTGGTAAAAGGACAGTTTAAAAATTTATACAATTAATTTTTAATAAATATATTATAGATTAATAAAATAAAATAAATTTCAATTAAAAAATCATATAAAAAATGACAAATAATTTAAAAAGAAATATATAAAAATAAATAAAGATAATCCTAACTGCTGTTTTAAAAACGCATTTTAAAAATTTCAATTTACAAAAATATTCTTTAAAAAATTAAATATTTTAATTTTCAATACAATAAGTACATCCATAGCCCGTATTAAAAATACATCCATAGATTTTTTAACACTTACGGTAGGTTTAGTATGGTTTTTAGAATGATCAAAAATAATTTTAGAGAGTAGAATTGAGTCATGTCGATTTTTGAGTTGTTTAATTATAGAAAAATAAAATTGACTGTGTCTCTAAAATTGATTCTAGTTGAAGTTAAAATTTATAATTTTTATTTTTAAAATTGATTTTGAATAATTTTTACATTAAAATTTATTATTCAATTCACTTTTATATAAATTCATATTTAAATATAAATCAATTATACTAAACTCAATTATAATAAAATTATTCTACTAAAATGAATTCTGTGAACCGCAAATCTATCTATCGAGAGCATTATTGAAGAAGTAGTAATAGTCAAAATATAATAAATTTTTTAAGGAAAAAAAACATTTCCATGACATAAAGTCATAAACATAACTCTTTTTCTTTTCTTTGTCAACACACTCTCTCCCCTCTTTATTCTCACCCGTTTGTTCTCTTTTTCTTTGATGGTTTTGTTGCTCTAGCTATGGCAGTAGAACTCATGACAGGTTACAACACAACGAAAACCTTCACATCCATAGCCGAACAAAATGCTGTCCAAGAAGCAGCTTCTGGCTTAGAAAGCGTTGAAAAACTCATCCAATTACTCTCCCAAGCACGCCATAAGTATCAAAACTCTTCATCTTCCTCTTCCTTCTCACCCTCAAATCCCAACAACAACAACAACGCTTCCATGGAGATTGAAAGAGACTGCAAAGCCGTCGCTGACATCGCTGTTTCCAAATTCAAACGAGTTATTTCACTTCTTGAAAAAACCAGAACCGGCCACGCTCGTTTCAGAAAAGCACCTCTACCGCAAACTCAACCTGAACAACCAATCTTCAACGCTACACCTCTTCAACAGATTCCTCCTCCTCCAACAACAACAACAACAACTACAACCCTTCACCGTCCTATAATCAAGAGAAACGATTCCTCAAAGACCCTCAATTTTTCCTACTCCTCCGCTGCTAATTCCTTCATTTCATCACTCACCGGCGAGACGGACAACAAACACCAACCCTCGGCTTCCTCGCCGGCCGGAGGTTTTCAGATCACGAATCTGTCTCATGTTTCGTCTGTTGGTAAGCCCCCACTGTCTTCTTCTATGATGAAAAGAAAGTGCAGCTCTGAAACTTTGGGTTCTGGAAAGTGCGGTAGTTCTTCTAGCCGCTGTCATTGTTCCAAGAAAAGGTATGTCAATGAAATCTTCAAACTTTCTTCAAATCAATTAAAACCACAAAACTGTTCTTTTACATTTTTTTTGTTATGTTCTGAATTGTGCTGTTACTTGTTATTTTTACAGTAGGAAATTGAGATTGAAGAGAGTTGTTAGGGTTCCTGCAATCAGTTTGAAGATGGCTGATATTCCACCAGATGATTATTCTTGGAGAAAATATGGCCAGAAACCTATTAAGGGTTCTCCTCATCCAAGGTACTTCAAATTAATTTTGTACTCATTTTTATCAATGGATATTAGCAAGGTTTTAATCGGTCCAAAAGGCTTTCGCAATTTCGGTTAATTGCCATCTAGGTTATATTAAGACTTTTGCGATTTTGGTTGGTACATATGTTACGACACTAATTAGAGTCATGATCGTCTAAAAGACATTCTTTGATACTATTTTGTTGCTGCTATTTATGCTTTGTTTAAAACATTGATTATTAGATTTATTTTCTGAATCTAGGAAGTGATTGATTGATGTTGAATTTTGTTTGTGTTGAAAATGAACAGAGGGTACTACAAGTGCAGTAGTGTGAGAGGGTGTCCAGCAAGAAAACATGTAGAAAGAGCACTTGATGATGCATCTATGTTGGTGGTAACCTATGAAGGAGAGCACAACCACTCACTTTCTGCAGCAGATGCAACTAATCTCATTTTAGAATCATCTTAATTAAAAATTTAATGTTGTTGCTGCATTTTCAAAATGGAAATTGATGTTTATGGTTTGTAGAATTAATGCAGATTTAGTGGTTGTTTAATTTCCCCGTACAAAAGAGTCAAAGATGGTGGTGGATTTGGTAAACGGATTTGAAATTGAATCTCAAAGTTAAACAAAAGAAAGTGGGATTTATTTCTTGTTTTGATTTTTGTTTTGCTTTATTCAGTCACTTTATTTGTCTTTGGATTCTCATCTACTAGTAGTACTTTTCAATAATGCTCTCTCAACGGGTTTTTTTTTCTCTTACTTTGAAATTGGAAAAAGAGTAAAGTGTAAAAACAAAAGCATTGAAAAGGACTTAGTCAAAGAATTGAACAGAAGATGAGGGAAATGTCGTGTACTGAACGGTTGACTAAAAAAGATTGAAAGAGAAAGAAAGAGAGGTTGGAAGTTGCTATTTGGGACGGCTAAACGTGTGAATCAAATCATTCAATCAAAGTGGGTGGTGAGTTGGGAAAATCAAAGGGTTGAGTTATTATTATTAGTTTTTTTTTTTTTATGTCGACTCAATTGCTAGGTTGGACTAGATTATTAAGATTCAAATTAAATGTGTATGTTTGTCCCGTTTAGGTTCATAAGGTGAAATCTATAAAAAAATTGGACAGAGTAGAGCTAACTTAGTTAAAGATGTGAATTTAAAACAGACAGACAAACATGTTCAACAAAACCGTTTTACAACCCTTACTTCAAACCTTAAACATTAATAATGTGTGTAATAATAATAATTATCACTTAGTGTATCAATAACAAAATCAACAAAATCAGGCTCTTGCAATGAATACAATAAACCCTATTAGAATTTTATTAACTTGACCAAGCTATATAAATAATTGTTGGATGCAAACAATTTAAAATAATTTCTCAATGAAAAAAGATTTGTTTGTAGCCTTTGGATTTTAGGAAAAAGGTTGGGTATAGGAAATGAGGTGCATTGAAGAGAGGTTGGAAGGTGTTGAATGACTCTAGTGGGAAAACCAATGGCAAAGTCAAAATGGGTGGGTGTGAAATTGATAAGTTTTATCACTGAAAAAATGGGTCCTACATTTGTTTGCAAATTTGTTCTTTTGCTTGCTTTGCCTTTGCCTTAACGTCAACTTTGTTCTACACATTGGTCCCTCTTTCTTCATTCATCATTATCTATTTCATTATTTACACGCATGTGGTATACCTCAATCATGCATATAAAAATATATCAATCTTCTCTCTTGTTTTTTCTTCACGTTGCTTCTAGCAAACCAATCTAATTATTTATAGCTTCCAAATCTATGCGATTTGATTTAAGTATGAACACATTTGTAGCAATCATTTGAACAAATTCATTGTTCGTGTTTCTAATAGTACTACGAAATAAGAAGTTAATATAGCGGCGTTTACACACTCAAGTGTTTTGTTGCTTATTGGTTGAAAAGCTTAAAGTTGTGCAACTCTTTTGAATTGTAGCAAAACTACATATTTTGCAGTCTAACTGGCCATTGGCAAAAATGTCAATCCAATAATTGGAATTGAGAATAGAGTAATAGAAGTGGCCTTTTGAAGCAATCAAGAGTTCTTGGCATTATCATGACATGAAATAATACAACTTTAACATAGATGTAAATTAAATTATTGTCTTTCTCTTTTGTGTGAGGGTAAGATCTCAAAAAGTGATTTAATCAAAATTAATTTAGATCCATATTAAAATAAAAATTAATTAAATCAAAGAAAGAACACTTTGAATGACTTAATAAGTGAGTTTTTTTAGACTTAATTAAAAAATTTGAGTTCAAACTCTCGTATCCTAATTTTATTCTTAAGATCTCATTTATCATATCATTATGTTTTATCAAGATCACAATTATGATAACCTCCTAGCTCTCTTGTTTTTGGGTTTGTTGTGTGGGCAAACATCCTATGTGTTTTATTGTTATTTTTATGTTTACTTGCCTTTTGCTTTACTAACCCTATTCAAAATACAAAAATATGTTTTCTTTTCTTTTCTTGTTTTGCAAGGTAGGGCTTCTTCATCAAGAGATTAAGTTGAGTTTCTAAATTAGAGTTTTGATCCCCTAAGTCAAAGTCAAAGTTAACAAGTGGTCAACAAGGCTTATTCTTCAAGGCATGACCTATAATTTTAGGTCACAGTCACGTCAAGCTTCATTCAACATCAATTGATTAAAAGAAGTTCAAGTTTGAAGTATTTTTTTCAAATGGTTTCAAGTTAGGGTTCATGTGTTTATGTCCATGCCCTTTTCATTCAAATTTCTCAAGCAATCCTCAAGATTTTTCAAGGGCCAATCAAGATTCAATCATGTGGTATTAAAATGATCATCGTTGTTCTTTGGAGTGTAAGAAAAGGTCAAAAAATCACAAGTTGGTACAAGTTTGGAAATCTTAAAAACCAAGTATGGCATACTTTTGGTCAAAATAATATAACTCTTTCACTTCTCAATATTTTTAGGCGCTTGTTTGAGCTAAATGTCCCTTTTGATGTCCTCTACAATTTTGATTAAGAGGTCAAACATCAATTCAAGCTCTAAGTTCATCAAATGTTGGAGGCCACATGTGCACAAAACTAGGTCATGACTTGTTTGATCTAATGTCATACTTTGTTTTTCGGTGCCACGACCCCAACTTCCAATTCATGCCATTTTAGCATCAAACATCCTTTTGAATTGGTTCTTTTTACACCGTGTTCTACTCCATGAAAGAATCATTTGGCAAAAAGAAAATCAATAAACGCATGAGTACATTCTATTTGACCTAAGCTTGAACATGGTGACTCAACTCTACATCTTTGGTACATGAACCGTAATTAGAAATGATCTAAAACCTAACTTGGGGACCACAACACATGTGCAAACTTGTTTTTTATTGCTAAAGGCATCCCACTAAGTGCAAAACGTCTCATTTCGAGTCATGAATAACGCTTTTCACCTTGCTTCACACGGTTGCAAAAATAAAAAAAATTTAGAGTTGGTTCACACGTTTGGGATCTGAAATTGACACGTATGATGAGCTCATTTCCTTTCCTATAAATAGAGAAAGCTTTTTCCTTCATTTGCAAGCTTGAACAATCAAAGAAACTCTTCCATTCTCAAGTTTGACACCTCTCAAAAACCAGAAAACCTAAACCCATTTTCTTATCGTTTTAACTTTAATTCTCAACCCAGAAACCTTCATCGGCATCATCGGAACCTGTCTGAAGCTCAACAGAAGTTCAACAACACCTCTAAGTACCAACTTCATTTCACCATTTTCATACCTTTGAAGCTCACTTCAAATAGGTAGCTACGAGTTTCCTTTTCACTCAAATAAGTTACCACACTCTCCGTCTTATTCTTCTGATAAAAGCCTTCACCTAACTGTGATTTATTCTTTGTATTAGTGTTGCAACTGGACTTAAAATCAGAGTCGCCACTACTAGTTTTTATCTTAAGGAAGGGAATCTAATAGGAAACCTTAATTTCGCAAACAAAGATTCTAGGTTTCAGACTTCTTTAGACAAAAGGAAGGTGTTAGGCACCTTTCATCTATCTTAGTTATAAGGATACCAGCGTTAGATTTAATAGTTTTGGGATAAAGAGTTTTAATTTTTTATTAGGGGAACTCGCTGCGATTTTAATTGTATGCCTACATATCCTCTTATGAGGAATCAGGGTCCCAATTCGTAGTTCGTATGAGTTTGTGTTTTTTATGGATTTCAAAGGTATTTTTAACTTTTCTTGCATTTAGGTCGGGTGTGAAAATAGCCAAATTTTAGACTAAACGCGCGATTAATCAAAATGTGCTCTGTAACTCTTTTTTGAAAAATAGATTGCTAGATTAATTTATTATGAAAAAGAAAGTTTAAAATTTGTTACGTGTTTTTTTTTTATATATTAATCGTAAAAAAACTCTATTTAATGCATGATTAAGAGAAATATTTTTAATGCAATAAAATATATGAATGAGTTTTTAGAAAAAATAATATTTGGTTTAAATAATAATAGTAATAAACGAGATTAAAAACTATGAATATTAAAACTAATAATAATTATAAATAAAAAATAAGAAAATAAAGTAGTTTACAAGGGGTTGCAAACCGAGCTAAGAAGTAAAAGAGAAGGGGTGTAGATAATAGGGTATGATTTCAGATATTGAATTCAAGCCCAGAATGACCGGGGGCTTGGTTTTAGTGTTATGCAGTAGAATAGGGGGTGCATAAGGAAACAGGGCCTAAGTTCAGATATTGAACTGGGCCCAGTGGCTAGGGGGTGTGTAACTTCAAATGTGCCTAACAAAAACAGAAAGGGAGGGTGCTAATATATTTGGGCTAAACCCAATACGTGTTTCCAAAGAGGCCCGAGGGGTAACGTGCGTGAGGGCGCACAGGGTTACAGTATGGACATGGCCTTATGGTCGTCTGATAATGATCAAGTGGGTATAAATCGGGGGAACATGCTATCATGTTGAACGCATATACACATGATAATTAACAAACATTATTTTGTTTCATAACATTTTCATTATTCTCAATTTCACTCATTCGCTACCCTTCTCTGTTCTCTCTCTCGATCTGTCTTCTTCCTTTCCCTTCTAACCCTAAAACCCGAACCCAACCTCTCCGGCCCACAGTGACACAAACCCTGTCCAAACCCGTAAATACACACAAAACCCTAACTACAATCCTAAGCTAAGAGTTTAAGCGGTTACCACTTCGTGATTTCGCGTTCTTTCTTCGAGTTCTCGACCAATTGTGTGGATTCTGCTTCTAATCTTTCTTCTCTTTCTTTGTTCGCAGGTCTCAATGATGCTAAGGATGATGGTGCCGATGAAAAGATTGAGCGGAATAGGATGAAGATGGCTCGACGGTGCTTTGAAGGGCTAGCCGCGACATTTTAGGGTTTCAGATATTGAAACCCTAAAACCTCTTCTACTGTCTTGGACGACCGGGCTCCTCCTTCTTCTCAGTATTATTTTAATTTCTTCCTCGT